AATAGCCAGACATGGGGTAGGGCAGGTCCTGGTCTTCCAAGGGCCTGTGGGACCAGCACATTCATGGTCCACACTCACCTCATAAATGGGAACAGCTGGAGCCATGCCGGGGGCCTGGGTGAGACATAGAGAAGACATCAAGGACAGGCACAGAAGGGTTTGTTAGGTCAGAGGTCCATGTGAGCAGGTGCCAGGGCCCTATAGTGGAAGGTTCTTGTCCTGATAGCCCAGAGCTCATCCCTCTGGGTCTTTAGGTCACTTTTCATCAGGAGTGACAACTTTTGCCCTCTGAGCATCAGTCCCTCAGCCTGTAACAGAACACCCCACCCCTTCCTGCTGCATCCCCACCTCACCCTTGTTATCCCGGGAGCACTGACTGCTGCTCCCAGGGTGCTCTGTGTTCCTTGCTGGACTGCAGGTCCTCTCTTAAGACAATTGAGTGGACATAAGGTGGGCTCAGGTCAGGGTGTGGGGTTGTCCCTATCCCTGAAGGGAGGCCCAGCTCCCAGCCAAGATGAGGCAAACTCTGTCCTGGCTTTTCTGGAAAAGTGGTGAGTCTGTGCTGCATGAGGGGTTGGCCAGTCCCCCTGCCCAGAGCCTGCATATTTGGGACCCCCAGTGAAGGGTGGGAAGGGGATGAGCTTACCGGGGAGGCAGAGCTGTCAGATTGACCATGACCTGGGGAGCAGAGACAGAAGTTAGTACTCAGGGGTGTAAAGGAGCTTAGAACCCCTCAGAGGAGGAGGTGCTGGTAGGCCCTCAGCCCCTAGAGACCCAGGGTAGAGGGAGCATCTCCTGGAGAGAGGCTCTTGGGCCATTTTAGGGGCCAAAAGGAAGCAAGGGAGGCTGAGGAGTGGCCCTGGCCCCAGACCCCACAGATCAGGACCGACATGGCCACTCTGAAGCCCTCTGTCCTGAAGGTTCTGTGCCTCTTTCCCTGAAGCCATAGGCAAAGGTGAGAGCCTCTAGGGTGGTGGGAAGGAATGGAAACTGTGAGGAGGGCTTGGGGCACCCAGCTCTCCAGGCTGAATGTGCACTCACCGGGGGTAGATGTTAGGGGCTGCTGATGTCCAAGGTCACTCTGGCCGCTAGCCCTAGGAAAGGTCAGGTTATTGGTGAGGATCCAGGGGGAGGTCACAGTGTTTGGGTCAGGACAGAGGACAATGAGGGGACCCCATTTCCAATAGGAAGTGGAGAAGTCCACTCTCTATCACTGTGGTGGTGGGAGAGGAGCGCCAGAGGAGGCACTGAGGAGAGGCCTTAAGAAGCCACATCTGCCCTGGGCCCAGAGAGAAAGGATCCTCAGGCAGATGCCAGCCCAGGAGAAAGCTGATCAGAAAGGACCCAGAACACAAGAAAGGAATTTCCACTGATCGGGTTAGGTTTGAACAAACAATAAGAGGTGCTGTTCACTGAGCACTAACTACCTCCTAGAAACCACTGTTGGTTTGCTGTGTGAATGAACTAGGACCACACTGAGGGGTGGGGCCATAATTGTCCCTAATTTATAGATTCTCACACGTGTCTGTGAGTTTGTCCTCCTGTGGGGGCTTGCGTGTTACTGTGATGCTGGAAGCTATGCCACCAGTTTTCAAATACCAGCAGGGTCAACCACAGTGGACAGGTTTCAGTTTAAGCTTCCAGACTAAGACAGACTAGGAAGAAGGACCCATCTACTTCTGAAGAGAATTAGCCAGTGAAAACCTTATGAATGGCAGCAGAACATTGTCTAATGTAGTGCTGGAAGATGAGCGCCTCAGGTTGGAAGTCACTCAAAATAAGACTGGGGAAGAACAGCCTCTTCAAAGTAGAGTTGATCTTAATGATGTGGATGGAGTCAAGCTTTCAGGACCTTCATCTGGTGATGTGGCATGACTCAAAATGAGAAGAAACAGCTGCAAACATCCATTAATAATTGGAACGTGGAAGGTACAAAGTGTGAATCTAGGAACATTGGAAATCGTCAAAAATGAAATGCAACGCATAAACGTCAGTATCCTAGGCATCAGTGAGCTGAAATGGACTGATTGGCCATTTTGAATTGGACTATCCTATGGTCTACTACGCCAGGAATGACAAATTGAAGAGGAATGGCATTGCATTCATCATCAAAAAGAACATTTCAAGATCTATCTTGAAGAACAATGCTGTCAGTAATAGGATAATACCCATATACCTACAAGGAAGACCAGTTAATACGACTATTATTCACATTTACGCACCAACCACTAAGGCCAAAGTTGAAGAAACCGAAGATTTTTACCAGCTTCTGTGGTCTGAAACTGATTGAACATGCAATCAGGATGCATTGATAATGACTGGTGATTGGAATGCGAAAGCTGGAAACAAAGAAGAAAGACTGGTAGTTGCAAAATGCGGCCTTGGTGATACAAACAATACTGGAGATTGCATGACAGAATTTTGCAAGACCAATTTCTTCATTGCAAATACCTTCTCTCAACAACATAAATGGCGACTATATATGTGGACGTCGCCAGATGGAATACACAGGAATCAAATCAACTACATCTGTGGAAAGAGACGATGGAAAAGCTCAATATCATCAGTCAGAACAAGGCCAGGACTGACTGAGGAACAGACCGTCAATTGCTCATATGCAAGTTCAAGTTGAAACTGAAGAAAATTAGAACAAGTCCACAAGAGCCAAAGTACGGCCTTGAGTATATCCCACCTGAATTAAGAGACCATCTCAAGAATAGATATGATGCTTGAACACTAATGACTTAAGACCAGACAAGTTGTGGAAAGACATCAAGGACATCATACATGAAGAAGGCAAGAGGTCATTAAAAAGACAAGAGAGAAAGAAAAGACCAAAATGGATGTCAGAAGAGACTCTGAAACTCGCTCTTGCTAAAGCAAAAGGAAGAAATGATGAAGTATAAGAGCTAAACAGAAGATTTCAAAGGGTAGCTCCAGAAGACAAAGTGAAATATTATAATGACATGAGCAAAGACCTGGAGATAGAAAACCAAAAGGGAAGAACAAGCTCGGCATTTCTCAAGCTGAAAGAACTGAAGAAAAAATTCAAGCCTGGAGTTGCAATATTGAAGCATTCTAAGGGAAAAATATTAAGTGACACAGGAAGCATCAAAATAAGATGGAAGGAATACACAGAGTCACTGCACCAAAAAGAACTGTAGATGTTCAACCGTTTCAGGAGGTAGAATGTGATCAGGAACTGATGGTACGGAAGGAAGAAGTCCAAGCTGCACTGAAGGCATTGGCGAAAAACAAGGCTTCAGGAATGGATGGAATACCAACTGAGATGTTTCAACAAACAGATGCAGTGCTGGAAGTGCTCACTCATCTCTGCCAAGAAATTTGGAAGACAGCTACCTGGCCAGTTGACTGAAAGAGATCCATACTTATGCCTATTCCTAAGGAAGGTGATCCAACAGAATGTGGAAATTATTGAACAATATTATTAATATTACACAAAGAAAATTTTCCTGAAGATCATTCAAAAGCGGCTGCAGTAGTACATCGACTGGGAACTGCCAAAAATTCAAGCCAGATTCAGAAGAGGACGTGGAACCAGGGATATCATTGCTGACGTCAGATGGATCCTGGCTGAAAGCAGAGAATACCAGGAAGATGTTTACCTGTGTTTTATTGACTCTGCAAAGGGATTTGACTTGTGGATCATACAAAATTATGGATAACATTGCTAAGAATGGGTATTCCAGAACACTTAATTGTGCTCATGAGGAAATTGTACATAGATCAAGAGGTAGTCATTAGAACAGAACAAGGAGATACTGCGTGGTTTAAAGTCAGGAAAGGTGTGTGTCAGGTTTCTATCCTTTCAGTATATCTATTCAATCTGTATGCTGAGCAGATAATCCAAGAAGCTGGGCTATATGACGAAGAACAGGGTATCAGGATTGGAGGACGATTCATTAACAACCTGCATTATGCAGATGTCACAATCTTACTTGCTGAAAGTGAAGAGGACTTGAAGCACTTACTGATGAAGATCAAAGACCACAGCCTTCACAATGGATTACACCACAACATAAAGAAAACAAAAATCCTCACAACTGGACCAATAAGCAACATCATGACAAATGGAGAAAAGATTGAGGTTGTCAAGGATTTCATTTTACTTGGATCCACAATCAACACCCACGGAAGCAGCAATCAAGAAATCAAATGACGCATTGCATTGGGCAAATCTGCTGCAAAAGATCTCTTTTAAGTGTTAAAAAGCAAAGATGTCATCTTAAAGACTAAGGTGGGCCTGACCCAAGCTACAGTGTTTTCAATTGTCTCATATGCATGTGAGAGCTGGACGATGAATAAGGAAGACTGAAGAAGAATTGACACCTTTGAATTGTGGTGCTGGTGAAGAATATTGAATATACCCTGGACTGCCAAAAGAACAAACATATCTGTCTTGGAAGAAGTACCACCAGAATGCTCCTTAGAAGCAAGGGTGGTCAGACTATGTCTTACATACTTTGGACATGTTGTCAGGAGGGACCAGTCCCTGGAGAAGGATATCATGCTTAGTAAAGTAGAGGGTAAGGGAGAAAGAGGCAGACCCTCAACGAGATGGATTGACACAGTGGCTGCAACAATGGGTGCAGGACAGGGCAGTGTTTTGTTCTGTTGTACATAGGGTCGCTGTGAGTCAGAACTGACTCAATGGCACCTAACAACAACAACAATTTATAGATGAAGGGACTGTAAGCACACAGTGAGGCTGGAGTCCAGATAGAACTAGAGGGGAGGATCCTCGGGGGAATTAGGGGTGGTGTGGAGAGCCAGGCCCAGGTTCCGAAGATGAGGCCTGGGTAGATGAGGTGGGGATGTGCCATCTTACCCCCTAGTCCTGGTGAGGAGGAAACACCCCAGAGTGGTCACCACAGCCATCCCGACCAGGATGGCAGTCACGATGCCCGTGATGGCCCCAGCAGAGATGTTCCAGGCTCCTTCAGACCCATCATCTGCAGTGGGCAGAGGTGGACAGAAGGCTGAGATTCATCCTCTGTGGCTTTGGGGTTCGCCCCATTGTGATTCAGCCGGTGCTGTGTCTCCAGGAGCAGGTGGTACTGCGTGCATCTTTTCTAGGCAATGATGACACCTTGTGGGGAGAGACCTTCGCTTTGCCAATGCCTGTCTATGATGTATGTCAGTAATGGGGAGCCCTCTCCCTGCAGAGACCTCGAGGTCCTGAGCCCTGAATCACACTCAGCACTTAGGAAGATGTTAACCAGGAGAGCTGAGGTGGTGTGGGGTCTGTTGGTGGGATGGGAATCTTCCCCAAGACTGCCCCTTTCCCTCAGAGGTTGTGCCTTGTTCTCAGGCCCTGGGCTCTCCAACTCCTCTCCCCACCTCTGGGCAGGGACCTCATGGGTGGATTACAATGTCAAGTACATTTTGTCTGTGTATTATCATCACATGAATGTCCTCTTGTCTATTTCCTTTGCCATGGTGAACTCCAGGTGCCTTCCCTCACCTTCCACTGGAGGAGTGATGGAGGTGTGGTTCCTGAGAGCTGATCATGTGCTGGGAGTGCTCTGAGCCCCCCACATCGCACACAGGCACTGCCCATCCTGGGAGGGAGCCATGTCACTTCTACTGTGGAGAGGGTGCAACTGAGACCACAGTGGTAGGACAGGAGGTGAACGTGACTTTGTGCCAACAACATGACAATGTTCACTTTTTGGGACACTTAGTGTCACAATACAATTGTCTAAGGTTTTTCCAGTCATTCCATTGCCTATTCACAACTACTCTATAAAGTGCATCATAACCACTAGGATACAAATAAGAAAATTAAGATTTATAATTTTATAACTCAGAGGAGGGGATGAGGAGTCACTCAGTTTTCACAGTCAGGATGAGGGGGTCACTTTTGCTGGAACTGACCAGGTTGGAGACCTCACACTGGTACTCGCCAGCATCCTCCCTCTTGACAGGGTCTATGGTAAGGGAGCTTTTGCCCTGGGACAGCGTTATCCTCTCCATAAGCTGCAAGATCTGCCCTTGGAAGACCCACAGGATGGAGATTCCAGTGTGTTTGGTGAGGCAGATCAGGGTCACGGGGCCCTCATGTTCTGTGACTGTGGTGTTGCTAGTTCAGATGGAGGGCTTTGTCGCTGACTCTGTGCAGAAACAGAGGAGGTGACTGTGAAAGGAGGCCTGGGGCTGCAATCAGTCCTCTTCCTAAGAGATCTCAGCCAGTATGCAGGCCCCACAGTGAGCCGGAAAGGTGACCCAGAGGGTGGTTCTAACCCTCAGCAGAGGTCATGTCTCTGTCCAGGTGCTATTCTGTGAGGACAGGGTGTTTCCTCCCCTCACTAGGAAATAGGTGCAGCACCCTGACTTCTTGATGTATCAGCACTGGGACCTCTTCCCAGCCCACGTGTCCATCCACCTCGTCATCAGGCAAATTTTTCTTCTCTAGATATTCATGTGACCCTTTCCTAGGGCCTCCTGCGACTGTGGAAGAGATCAGGCCCCTCTCTAGTAGACGGTTCTGTGGGGGTGGGGTGGGAGGGGAAGGGCAGGCTGCCAGCCCTGTCTATTGCTGGGGCAGGGCAGCTTCACATATGGAAAGAAAGGTGTTTCCTTTTTGTTAAATATTATATGAGGCAGTAAGCAGAGCCATCCCATTCTTCACCATCTTAGAAACAAAAAGGTTCCACTCTAAAGGATTTCTCAATCTGAAAAAGCTTTTGCTTTCAGTCTATGCATGGACTATCACGTGAGGGAAACTTTAGAGGGAAGTGGTTATGTTTCAACAAAGTCAGGTAGCCTCAGCCCTCTCTGTAAACTGCAGCCAGAACCCAGCGGGACTGCCTTGCTTTTCCGGGTCTTGGCAGTTTCTTGCCTTTGACAGGGTGCAGTTTTACCACTTTTCTATTGTTCTCTATCAGTGGAAAATATTTGAGTTTTCCTTCTCTGACAGGTTTCTGCCTTACACAGGTTCCTGCTTTCGCAGGTTTTACTGAACATACTTTTGGCCCTGCCCCTTCCCTCCCATGAAGAGACTTCATGGGTGAATCTGCCTAGTTTTCCAAGTAGGATTCATGACGCATTGTTCTCCTTTGTGTAACATCTGTGCCAGTGTCACACAGGGGATACAGCTGTGACTTTAGAGCCAGGTCACAGGCTTGGATGCCTCTGCCCTGAAGCTGGCACTTTCCCCATGTCCTTGCAGCCTGATCTGGCGTGGCTCTGGTGTCCGTGGGCTGCATGTTTTAGCAAGATTAGGACACAGCACACCTGAACCTGCTCCGCACTCCCCGCTCCGACCACAGATGGTGTCAGAACAGGGCTGGTGCGCGGGGTTGCAGGGGACAGAGCAGAGAGGCAGAGCTCCATCCTGCCACCACCCCATAGGAGGTTGTTTCATCCTCTCATTTGGGAAAACACATGAGCCTGTTCAAAGACTTGTATGTTCCTTGTAGCACATGGAGTCAGTGAAAGAAAACAGATGAAAGAAAGTGACAAGTTAGTACAGAGAGAACACTTGACCTTGAGGGCACTTCTTTCCTCCCCCACTCTGAAGCCCCCTCCCATTCCACGGGGCTTTCTGGGCCTGAGAGGGTCCCCTCCCCACATTCCAAGCTGGACCCAAGGTCTGCTCTGAGAAATATGAAGAGTAAGAGGAGGGAACAGTCTCCAGGGATGTACTGGGAGGGCTCAGGGACAGATTTTGGGATTTGTGTGTGACTTGGGGACACAGATGGGAAAAGAGCTTCTTCCAGAATTTTTTCAGAAAAACCAAACTGACCCCCACCCCAGAGCCCAGTGCTGATGTTCCAGGGAGCCACTTACCAGAGACTGTGATAGTCTTGACTGTGGTTCTGCTGAGGCCAGTGGCATTGCTATGGACATGGCAGGTATAGTTTCCACCATCACTCACAGTGACGTTGGGGATAAAGAGCACTTGTGTGGATTGCAAGTAGTTTCCATTGATGAGCCAAGAATACTGTGCAGGTGGGTTGGAGGTCGCGTTGCAGGAGAGAGTGAGGTTGGCCCCTGGAGGGTAATGCCAGTCTGAGGGGGAAATGGTGGGGGTGTCCGGGCCATCTGGAGCAAACAGAATAAAGCCATGTTGTGATGTAACCAGAGGGAAGGGGAAGCTCCTGGACTGATAAGGGCCACAGCTTCCCTCTGAGCCTTGTTTTAAAAAGTCCTACACCATAACCCCCTGACTTCTCTGAGCCTGATCTGAGACCATCAACTGGTTTCTCCCATTCCAGGTGCTGACCATAAGCATCTCAATACAGGAGCAGCCCCTCCCCTCCTCATCTGGCACCATGGCAAGATCAACGCAGATTTGCCTGGGAAAGGATGTCATGGCCAGCCCAGGTGTCCAGGGGCTGAAGGTTAGTGTACTTGGACCTAGAGGACTGATGTGGCCTGGCTCTGAAAGTGTGGATGTGGGCTGGCAGCCTGTGCCATGTGGGAGCAGAAGTTACTCACAGAGAACATTCAGGATGAATGGGTCACTGCGGCGGGCATTCACTGGGTTCCAGGTTTCACACTCATAGGGTCCTTTGTCATTCCTTGTGACATTGTGTATAGTGAGAATCCTGTTGTCTGTGGACAGCTCTAGCCTGGCCCTGTCTGGGAGGCTCTGATGGTTTATCAACCACTGGTAGGTTGTGTTCTGAGTCTCAGGGTCACAAGTTAATGTTACAGAGTCCTGGTCCTCCACGGGGTTGGAGCTGTTGCTGGTGATGAAGGGTTTGGGTAACTCCGCTGTCAGATAACAGAGAGAAGATTATCCCACTTAGTATCTTTGATTCCTGCAAAGGCATCTTTCAATCAGAATTGGCATTGCATATCTCTCAGTCAACCTGGAATCTTTAAAATATAAAGCAGGTCTTTGTATTACAATATAAATGCCTGACAATTTGAGTGCTCAGAGAATGTAAGGCCCACCTGCCTTATTCTGTCACTGGAAAAAGCATGGAGTTTCTCAAATGTTAATTAAGTAGCAGCGCTTGGTCATGGAAAGTCACAGGACTGGGGATCAGAGATCACACACGGTCTTTCCTGGGCTCTTCCCTGACCAGCTGACTGCCTGCCTGAACTTAGTTTCCTCACCTGGAACTTGTGCTTGCTGAGGTCCCTTCAGCTGCACAGTTCTGCATTGCCCAGATCAGGTGTGTTTTTCTCTGAAACAACACTTCTTGCTCAAAGATACCCTAGATGTGAGCAATGATGGAACTTCTAATTGCCTTTAAACCTGAGGATTATGGGGCAGCCTGGCCTGGAGACTGGGTGTCATGAGCAGAAATTACACTCAGGGAGATGAGTAGCAAGTCCAGTGGTCAGGCCGTGGGGCCACAAGATAGGGGGCAGTTCTTTCTGGTGTTTGATGGTGACTGACGAGATGCCATGACCCCATAAAAGACAGAGCCAAGTCCAAGGAATGCTATAGGAAAGAGTGAGGGAACAGGCAGGAGCTGGCTGGGTTTGGAAGCAGAACCACGTTCTCTCCTTGGTCTTTAGTGTCCCTTCTCCCATGGCTTAGGGCAAGTGAGGACCACGTTTATCTTTCCTGAAATACATGTGAATGGTTTCAGATTCAGAGGGGTTACTAGTGGAAAATAGAGGGAGCATTAACTTGCTGAGGGTCTGGCCTCATGGACCATTTGTGTTTAGTGGCTATGGATATAAATTTTATTAAACATTTAAATTATTATTAATGGCTCAAAGATCTGAGGCCAATTGTCTGAGGGAATATTTCTCTGGAGAACACTAGAAGATCTTAGGCCAGGCTCTGAAGTCCAGCAAGGATCACATTGTGATCAAAGGAAAATGCTGAAGTCTGTTCTGGGTGGGGAGAGACAGGTGATCCTGCTAAGGGGACAAAATTGATCAGAGGGAATTCTGAAGTGTCTCAATATAAGAGGAGGAAACATCACATTCGTAGGAATTATGTGTTCTGTTAGTCAACTTAGAAAAGAGGTCCCTGTCACTGATTCCTCAAGGAGAGTTGGGCACAATGCGGAGGAGTCTTGACAGAGGCCCATGGAATGCTTCCTTTCTTCTCTTTAGACCTCATGAGTGATGCCATGAAAACAACTACAAAACAACAACACAACGATAAAAACAACTAAAGTTTGATCAGACCAATGAGCTGACTGCCTGACCAACCTCGGTGTCCTCACCTGGAACCTACACTTGCTGAGGTCCCTCTAGCTGCACCATTCTACGTTGCCCAGCCCAGTTGTAGCTTCTCTGAGGCCTCTTTTTTCAAGGATTTCCTGGAGATGGTTAAGGATGGGACTTGTCATTATCCTTAAACCTAAGGAGATGGGGCAGCCTGCCCTGGAGACAGGGTGTCATGAGCAGAATAACACTTGGGGAGACCAGGAGGAAGCCTGGTTGTCAGCCACGGTGATAGTAACTGAAGTGACAGTGGCTCATGCATCTCCCATTTGAGAGGACCCCATGTCATGACCATGGTGCTGTGATGAGGAACACACATTCCTGTGGAATAGAGAGTAAACCTAGTCAACAGTACATGGTCTGGAAGCTCCTCCCTGGAGAAAGGTCTCAGAACCACTGTGGGACTGTGAGCCTCACACCAAGGACAAGGACATGAATCACGAGTAAAATGGGTAAAATGTGTCTCTATGCTTTGGGACTACAGACCTGTTCCCTCTGCCTTTCACTCCTGGTGGGATCAGTGCAGAGAGTGAATCAAGGAGGTATATATCCATCCTGCATGGCCTGTCCCATGTGTTAGCATCACTGAGGAGAAGAGCCCTGGACAGGGACACAGTGGAAGCTTGTTCTCCTGGGGACTTGGGTGCATTGGCTGGTGGTGGAGTCCTTGCAGGGGCTGCTGCTTAGGCTGATTTCTTTGCCCTTTACTGTTTCCCGAGAAGGGTGAGGCTGGCCACAGTGTTGGTGGAAGAGAACGGGACACTCAGTATCTGGGGTGGGTTAAGTGTTGGAGGAAGCTCTGAAGAGCAGGACAGTCCTGGCTGAAATGAAGGAGGAGGAAGATGAGGGACATGGAAGGAACAGACAGAGCCAGACATGCCCGTGGCAGTGAGCAGTGGGCATTTATGAGTTCACAGACCCAAAGATCCAAGAGCTCCCATGTGACCCAGAAGCAGGACCAGCACATCTGAAACGCTCTCCTCTGAGCAGCACCAGAGTCATCAAGATACCCAATTCCCGGGGTAGCTTTAGGATCAGGCAGTCAGAGGGAGGGAAAATGGGTCTCAGTCATCTGGAGGCCAGGAGGCCAGGGTGGCTGAACAGCCTGAGAATCTCAAGCAGGGTCCAGTCTCTGAAGAGATTATGGATCATTCATTCATTTCCACTCCATTCCCTCCTTCCTTCCATCCTTTATCGAAGAGTAATTGAGAGTTTGTTACATGTTGAGTCTGTGCTAGTTGCAGGGTGTGCAGTGGGGAGTGAGATAGCAAAGTCCTTTCCTTTAGGCTCCACTGGGAGAGACACACAGCACATAAATAAACATAAATGATTTCACTCCAGTGCAGGGAGCATGTGGATTGGCTTTCTGGGGTGGAGGCCTGGACATGCTTGCCACTGACTGATTGTTGATATAAGTAATTTAGTTCTAGAGCAAAACCGGATTAATCATTCATTTGCTCTGACCGCCTGCCTCCCCTAACAAAAATCTCTTCCTTCGATCTGGGGATGTCTAAGAAGAAAAGAGCTGAATCCGTGGCTGCTGTCAGGGTCCACACCCCTAATAAGGCCACCCGGGATGGAGGAAAGCTCAGGGTTGTGGCTGCAGACAGACCTTGGTGTGACTCTGATCTGCCAATCATGGTCTGTGTGACCCTGATTTAGTGACTGTTTTCTCCATGCCTCAGTTTCCCCTCAATAAAATCAGAGAAAGGATAAGGGGTATCTGGCTTGCAATGTTGTCTGTGAATTAACCATAAAATATTCACAATTATCTGATCTAAAGCTGGGTACAGAGGAGTGGCCCAAATAACCAAATAAATGACATCTATTATTGTTTGCCTCAAGGAGAGGGCACCCTCAGGTGGGAAAGGAGCTGCCTGTAGCATCTTCTTCCCTTTTCCTTCCTCCTGGGGATGCCGACCTTCCTATGGGGACTTCTAAATTCCCCAGGGCAGTCAGGTAATGGCCTGGAGCACATTGCCACCTGTGGTCTCCAAATTGAGTCTCAGGTGAAGGACTCAGCTGTCCAGAATAGCTCTTGGGGTGCAGCCCTGGCTGGTGACAGCTGCAGGAGCTCCAGGACTCCAGCAGTCAGTAAATTGTTCCTCCCAGTCAGACCTGTCCTGGAGGCCAAGATCCAACTCTGGCTACAGGCTCCCCAGGTTCCCCTGGAGTCTGGAGGCCTGGGACAGGGCCTGGGGAAGGAACTTCCTGGGGCTGATCTGCTCTGTGAGGATACCAGGGGCCCTCAGGTCAGGGTCTGACTTCTAGGGTCTTTAATCAGAACCATGTTCACAGGAAGGCGCCCAGGGGGAGTGGACTAAGTGATCTCCCCCTGCTGAGTTACTCCCCATCTGACTCTCCTCTCTGCTGTGAATGTCTGCAGGGTCTGGATTCAGGAAGGAGATTCTGATCTAAATGCTCAAAATCCAAGTACGGAATGCAGAGGGGGGTATAGGCACTGCAAAGGGTCCAGGCCTGTCAATCTTTGTCTTTAAAGTAGAATTAACCCCACCCCACACCCAGATGTCAGAGAGGAACTACTTACGGTGTACACGGATCTGTCCAGCTAATGCCTCATTGTCACCATTTGTCTTTGTTATTTGTAGTGTGTAGATTCCTGTGTCCTCCAGGGTGACATTCTGGAACAGCAGGGACCCGTTGGGGTATATTGTCTCCCGACCACTGTGGGCAGGCCCTGTAGCATTTGGTTGAGTAGCTCCTGTTAGATACGATGCAATTTTATTGTTGTGGTCTCTACTTTCCCCTTTGTACCAGATGTAGATTAAAGTATCTGTTGGCGGATTGCGGAGAAGTAGAAGAACATCATTTCCTTCAGCAGCGTTGAATGGCACCGATTCAATGGTGGGTTGGGCTGTGATGGATGGGCTCCAGAAGATTAAAAGTGAGACTAGGAGGGAAGAGAGAGAAATCAGTCAGCATTTGGACAATTGTATTGGGATGGAAAGTTGGGGCCCTTGTCTGAGCAGGTCTCTTTCAGCCCTTGGACATGGGGTTGTGTACTTCCCAAGTCAGCATTACTTCAGCACCTTGGAAACTGTTATTTCCCCTTTTTCTAATACTCTCCCCCAGGCGTCTGTACGGCTCACTCACTCACTCACTCACTGCCCTCGCTGCTCAAACTCAGTGGCATCCTTGGGAGCTGCCTTCCTGACACTTCATCTGCAGACCCTCTGTCTTCATTTTCTGACCTTTCCCTGCTCTGTGTCCTCCATGGCACTTACCAACACCTGACGTCCCATGCAGGTTTATTTGCTTGTCTGTCTCCCTCTCCCCTAGACGGGAGCTCCATGAGGGCAGACACTTGTCTCGTGCGTTGCACCCCTCGTGCCTAGACAGGTCTGCAAATACCTGGGGGATGAATCAGTGTAAGTTCCTAGGGCCCCTCCAAGTCCTGGTGTTTATTTGCCCATTTCTGAGATTGGTAGGTATTTCACAATTGTTTGCCCCAAGCCTGTTGCCTTCTAGTCTATTCTGACTCATAGCAACCCTGTAGGACAGAGTAGAACGTCCCCATACAGTTTCCAAGGAGCCACTGGTGGATTCCAACTGCGCCAACATTTTTATTAGCAGCTGAGCTCTTAACCGCTGTGCTAAGAGATAATTAATTTGGAAAACATGCAGCAATTGTGGTTTTACTCCCTTTTACCAATTCCAGTTCAATGACACTTCCTGTTGCTGGGCCTTCCTGCCTCTTTTGTGTTCTCTCCACTGGAGCTCCACAGGGAGCTACCTGTCACATCCCAGACACTTGTCCTCCCAGGAGACCCCAGCCAGTCTCTGTTCTCCCACCCTCCCCCATGCTAGGGAATCCTCCCCTCTCACCTGTGAGCAGGGACCCCTGCCAGTGGATGAGCCTTCTGCGGGGAGTAGCTGAGGGAGGCTCCATGGGTCTCTGCTGCCTGCTCTGTGCTCCCTCTGTGGAGAAGACACCTCTGTGGCTGAGCCTCCTCCTAGGGTGGAGCTTCCCCAGGTCACATGGGCTGGGGGTGGGTTCTCACCTAGATAGACTCTCTCCTGCCCTCCCCTTTCATAACTGGCCCTTAAGTTCCCTTCTTTTCCTTTTCCTTTCTGTCTACATTTAGGCTCCCTGGAAACAGCCGTTGCCTCTGCCTTCTCAGCCTTGATCCTCCTCCAGCACACCCCGATTGTTGGGGTGGGCACAACGCTAGGGGCCTCAGCCTCCTGGGCTGGGCATTTCCCAGAGTTCTGGGTCAGGGTGCACACACAGTCAGCTCTCCCCTGCAGTTCTCTTTAACCCCATTTGGCTTTTCCCTTTAGAGCAGGAGTCCAGGGAAGATATCAAGAACTCTTGTCACAGGGAATTCCACCTGCTTGTGCATCAGAATCATCTGTGGGGTCTTATAAAACAGCCAGGAGTCCAGGTGATGCCTTAGAAATGCTACTTCAGTAGCTGCGCAGGTAATGTTGATGGTGCCCTGATGGACTGAGAACCAGTGATCTGTGTGGCTTCTCACCCTCTCCTGTGCACAGGGAGAGTCTAAAGATCCTATTAAATGCAGATTCTGACTCTGTGGATGTGATGTGGATCTCAGAGTGCATCTAACAGGCTCTTAGGTGATGCTGATCATACTGGCCTGTGGACCACACTTTGAATAGCCAGGCTGTTGGGGACTCCTGTTCCCTGAGAGGACAACTTACCAGCATCAATGTTGGCCTCCGCTGTTTCTGGTCTTGGGTCTGCAAGCACCAAACAAGGAGCCCTTGGGGTCCCCTAACCCAGGGATGATTTCCATCTGACACAGAAACCCACTGGGCACCCAGGTCTTTCCAGTGTTCTCAAATGCACTAACCTGTTGCCGTCGAGTTGATTCCGACTCATCGAGACCCTACAGGACAGAGTAGAACTTCCCCATAGGGTTTCCAAGGAGTAGCTGGTGGATTCAAACTGCCGACATTTTGGTTAGCAGCCTGAGCTCTTAACCATTTCACCACCAGGTCTCCTTCAGTATGGTAGATAACTGCCAATATCAGGTGTTGTACCAGGGATGCTGATGCATTGAACACTAATGACCAGAGGAGTTGTGGAATGACATCAAGGACATCATA